GGCTGAAAGCCAGAGCCAAGCAAAGAGATTCTTTTCTTTGCTTAAGCTATCTAGAGGAGAGTTTTCCAGCACACGCCACATGAACATGTGTGTACACTAAGGCAATGGCAGTGGGACTGACAAGTGACAAAGTCCACGCAATCTTAGAGCTCTAAGACCAAAGAGTCCAGCTTTCTTTTCATGGATGGGGAAACAAGAGAAGACAGGAGGTTCAAGGACTTGCCCAGGGTTCCCCAAGAGTTAATAGCAGAGCCAATCCCAGAACCAGCCGAGACTCCAGATTTACAGTCGAGGGCTCCCTCTATAACGTCCAAACCACGGCTATTAATGCAAACAATGTCATGCAGAAAAGCTGTTTTCACTGGAAAGTGTATGCACTCTCTGGATCCCAAGCTCTCCTCTCCCCGTGTGGCAATGGGCTGACGCGGGAGGTCGATGACCCAAGGTGGGCTCAGAGTGGCCACTTTACAGGATGCAAAGCACACTGCTCTTCTCTTTCTGCACATCGCCATCTAAACACTGCTCCACGTCTGTGATGCCCTTCCAGTTCCTGCCAATTAGTCACTGTTATGCTTGCATGTACTAGAAACCAGTGGAAACCTTAGCGCCATCCTCCCAATCTGGCCCCATCACACCACAACACCCCTTCCTTCGCTTGCCCCTCGTGGTGGCTCTATCCACTCACACTTTCTTGGAGAACTAGCTCACATGATCCCTTGAAGCCTGCCAAGTAAAATTCCTTGCTCCCCTCTCCACGATCTCTCTTACCTTTGTTTATATGACAAAAACAGCATCTTTCCGCCCCAAATGACAGCAACCCAGATCTACCTCTCCCGATCGTGGGATCAGGAGAGCAGGGACTGTAATCTTTCATCTTACCTACGTACCCAGAGCACGTCGCACAAGGCAGGAGCTCAATACAGGCTGGAAAATGGAAGTGAATGAATATCCACCAGATGCCACATACAAATTGCCAAGCAGACGGGGATGTGAAGGTCTGTCAGTTAAGACTCATCACCTCAACTAGCTTCATTTCTAGATGAGGAAATGTGGCTAAGATAAACACTCAGAAGTTCCGGGTCTAAGTAGCATTTCCACAGCACACTAGGCAAATGGCCTTGGCAATGGATAGGAAGACAAGGAAACGATGTTTGCATCACCGATGGCCAGGCAGGCTACTGCCTGGTGCTCTATATACAGGACCTCAGTCAATTTGTTCATGAGGCTGATCACATTTTAGAATTGAGAAAAGCAGAGCTCAGAGAAGTGAAGCAGACTGCTGAGAAATCAGACAGTTAGCAGGAAGCGGAGGCAGAAGGAAGACGTGGCCTAAATTCCAGAGCCTGTGTTCAGTCGCACAGTCCAATTAACCCGACATTCCCAACTTCCTTTTTAAACCACTAAATATCGCCTTTATTACAGTTATACCTACATATTCTGTGGGAAAAAATACTGTCTACTAAAAGTTATGTTTTTAAGTAACAATTTCCCATGTTTATTCATCAAACCCTCTCATCTGGATTCTAATGGCAAAACTCCTCATCACTAAGAAATAACCAGTATTGGAAGAGACATAATTCTAGCTCAAAGCAAAAAGTGTGTGTGTGTGTGTGTGTGTGTGTATGTGTGTATTTTATTTGGCTTATTTAATCTTGCCATGGTTAAAAATTAATTTTCATTAGACTTTCTTTTTTCTAAGGACAAACAGAAAAGCAGGCATTTCCATCTTTCCAGATCACTGGGGACGTGCTATCTTGAGGTGGGAACCACAGCACCTCTCTTTTCGAAGCCTCACGTCTCCCCAGTCTTTGGAATAAGAATATCATCTCTAATTCTGGTAGCCGTGAACCTGGACACAACTTTGTCAGCCACAAAACAACAGGAACATTCTAATGCTGTTGAATGCTGTAAGTATCAGGAGATTACGTGGCCTGGGTATGTCCCATTTTAGCTTAAATCCTGTCACATCTTTTAGATTTTGGTCCATGAAGCACCTCCCAGGCCACTACACCTCGGGTTGTATCATTGACTGACAAAATGAAAATGGGATTAGCTCTTATGGTGGGATTAGGGCAGCCTTACTCTGACATAAGTGTCAACCACCCTTTCTCTCTTTCTAGTACTTTTGCACACAGAAGCTGTTGGTTACTCTTACATTTCACTTTTTTTGCACACAAACGTTCAAGTTTATATTTGGCCCTTTACAGTTTCATTTTCGCACTCAGCCAGAATGGGACCGTCTGAGCTATCTGGTAGGTGTCACCATCTCCACACCCCCAAAGCCTGGTGTAGCTCCTAGGACGGGCACAGGGCTGAGAGGTTCCTCGAACCGCTGAGATCCTTCACCAGGGCACTGCTCTCCGGGTCACGTCCCGCGGACCCCAGTGCACAGGCTCTCCGTGACCTCTGAACTCACCCTAAAGGCACCAGGCGCCCTGCAAGCGAGGACAGCCCTCTGGGAACATGTGTCCTGGCAGTACCATCTTAGTAACTGGCAGGCAAACATCTCTCCTGCTCAAATAAATTTGGGAAATGCAGGTTAAATCAAGTTTGTCTCTCATTGTGGATTTCCAATGTCCAGGGGGAGGTACACAGAGAGGGGCACACATGCAGTACTTAGCAAACCCATGGAAAGATGAATAGGTTTCAGGTGAAAGGAGAAACAACGTCCCTCAGAACACACATCTGGGGAGAGCTGCCCACAGCCCTTTGTTATTCCTGCAGTTCGCAGCCCAAACTGAGGAGCAAAAGGAGAAGGAACTAGGCCTGCAGAACGCCTGCCACACGACAGTGCTCTACCCTTGTCCTTGACTGGACCTGGGGTAAACAATTTTTAGCTCCATTATACAGAGGGGTAAATGAGGTCCTCTAAGGTCAGAAAGAGAGCCGGCATTCCAACGCGGGGGTGCCTGACCCCCAATGCCATGTTTTCCCCTGGAGCCTTTGTGCCTTGAGATCCATTTACCTCAGAACTTAACTATAATTGTCTAGTAATTCTTCTGTTAAGAGTGCCTCCCTCCAGCCTTACAGGATTTTCTCTCTTCACTCGTTTCCACCTCCCATGTCCGTCGCTCGGGGAAAGGACAGTTACAAGTCCTCCAGCCGGAGGACGCGGCTCCTCCCCAGGCTCTGCCCAGGGCCGGGGTGACTGAGGCCCACAAGAGGGGGAGACACGGGACTAAAGCAATCGGGCGTGAGGGCACCCTCCCCCATGTGTCCACACACAGGTGCTTCCTCTGCCTCACACCTCAGCAAGCTGCAGAAACATGCAGAACTGTTTTCTACACTTTAATTTTTAATAAATGGTCGTGAAAAAAAAATCACAACTGTTGTGCTGCTGCTTCGTGCTCCTCACAACCCCTCTGAGAAAACAGAGCTGTTTTCCTCCTTTCACAGTCTCTGACTTAAATCAAGCATTTGGTCTGAATTAGACTGACTTATTTATTTTTATTACAATTCTCTAGAAATGGAAAACCAAAACGACAATAAATGCAAGCCTGGGTGAAAGGGCCGAGTGCACGGACAACTCCAAGGGGAGAAAGCAAGCCAGGCTCTCATGAGGCTGTCCCTGGGGCCCGAGGGGACTGTGGCAGGCAGCAACCTTACCCAAAGGCACATGGGCAAGGGGGCATCTACTCAACTCCATGAGACAGGGAAGACTTCTCTTCAGGCAAGAGGGAGGCAGTTTTGCATGCACCTAATTATTTAATCCATTCTGACATGCCTCACCATCCTAGCTCATCTTCTCAAAAAGAAAAAGAGTCCAATTCATTGTGTTAATTGGCTGGACGTCTGGCTCTGCACCTCTCTCCCCGCTCTCTCCCTCCCATCCTTCCCCATCTCAGAAAAATGTCAAAAGCAATTTCCAGTCCTCCAGGTTGAAGTTACTTTCCTGGGGCTTTAACGAGGCACACTTCTTAGATGTCTACACTGAGGTAGACTCGCTGCAGTTCAATCCAGTGAGCCTTCGTTGATCAGCTATCATGGGTCCTGCAGTATAGTAGGTATCTGGGGGGTACAGATTCTGCATAACCAGAAGTCAGAGACGTAGACTTAAATGTTTGCAAAGCTCCGTTTCCCTATCTACTAAATGGAGATGATAACATTGAATGTGGCTTCATCCCATGGAGACCATAAGACACAAACGAAATAAGGTCTGTAAAATGTGGGCAAGAAGGAAGAATACATCTCCTGCAAAACAGTAGGAGAGATTGTCTACTGACAGACGTTCATCCAGATATTTGAAAAACACATAGCAGGCTGTCCATACGGTCCATTTATAACCTAGTTAAATTCAGAAGCCATTTTTTTGGTTTTTTATAGTTTGAAGAAAATGATTTTTTTTCTATTCTGGACTTTTTTTTTGGTATTCCTTGAATGGAAAGAAAAATCAAGCAAAATTAAATGAGACGAACTGAAAATAAACCCTACACCCTCATTTCCCCTTTCTGATGGGTAAAAGGTTGGGTCTGAGATAGGCTTGATGGAAACACAAGTGCCTACAATCATTAAGAGCGATCATTTGGCCCCAAATAATGTTGGCTACATCTTAGGGGAATTTAAATGTGATTTCAAGATGTACACATTCTAGTTTAGCACTAAACCAGTGAAAGCCGACAGGAACAGCTGAATCTTCCAGCTGTGTACACGCACTGGGTTAGCACTGCCATAATCTCAGGCATGTAATTGTTAAATCAAATTTAAAGCTCTAGAAAAGATAACACACGCCATGATCAAGTTTTCCAAATTGCGTTACTAGCTTCTAAACTTCTCATTAACTGCTTGCTTTGACACCATGAGCACCTGTGATGGAAATCTACTCGGCAGCCCGACCACCAGAGAGAGGAGAATTCCTGCAGTAACCGCGGGAAAGTCTCAAAAGGGAGACTCTGTCACCAGCACAAGTGAAGCCAAAGGTGTGCTCAGTGTCTCTAAAATCAAAAGCAACAAGGCTCATCCTGAAATTCCTTTAAACAGCTGTTTTCTCCGACAAGACCGACCAGAGTACAGAAGATGCACTGGCACTGGGCGATGGTGGTCATCTGTTCCAGTGGGTACTCCCCGAGACAGAGCTTGCACGACACCAGCGGATCGAGCGCCAGGTCCCACGTGGGCCGGTACCGCGCTGTGGTCATGGCAGAGCAGTCTGAAACGAGAAGAGAAGCACAGCTGTCAGACCCCCTCGTGGCCTCCACAAGAACCAAGGCATGGGTCCCTTCTCCCAGCTGCCACCGGGGCCCCGGGAGGTGGCTAAGCGACTGCTGATGGGCCTGGGGCTCCGGAGAACTCGTTTGGGCTCCTGACTTGGATCTGTGGGTGATTCCTTTCCCATACTGATGGTAATGTTCATGTCTACCCTCAAAATGGCAAACAACCCACCTCGCCCCATCCTTCCCTCCATCCCTCCAATGGGCACTGAGTAAGACACCTCCAACAACCAAGCATCTAGCCCAGGAGGGCAGAACCTTAGCAGCCATGGGAGAGAAGCTTTTCTTAAAATAGTTATTGATCAGATCAAACTGTTCTCCAGTTTCTGTTGTAGAAACATCCCCAGGAAATCAGTCAGTGAAGTCCTTCCCTTTCCATCCTCGGCGCCCTCCCAAGACAATGCACCTTTCCACACTGGCTTCTACCCACACCACCCAAGTGTTACCTGACCCTCCAGAAACAGCCCAAGCACCACTGCCTCCTTAAGCCCTGGCAGATTTTCTAGAATATAGGCTTCAGGGAGGCAAGGGCCTTTGGCAGATTTGTTCACTTATGCAGGTCAAGTGCAACCTACAGGGCCTGGTGTATACAGATACTCGACACACATTAATGGAAGTGATCTTCACTTCCCCATCCTCCCAGAACACTCTTTGGCCACTTCCTAACCCCTCCACGGTCTGTGTTCCCTGATGACATGTATTTGTCAACTGCCATGTTTATTACACTGATTTCCACTGCTTGCTGCTCGGGGAAGACAGGGAAGGTGTGTGTCCCTAGTTCATAGCTCAGTATCTGACCCATAGCGGCCTCTCCAAAATTGCCTATTGATTGAATGAACAAATTCGTGTACCCAGGGATATAAATTCTCACCCTGAACCCCTGGCACTTGATTTAAGCCTTATGACACTTACTGTGTACCTGCAACAGCTAAGCACGTGTTTTATCATACCACTACCTCCTGCTCCCCAAACTCAACACTAGGTAAGATTTAGTTAAAATTTCAGATAAAATCCCTGGCCCCTGAACTGTCACTACTTGCCATCTGAATCTCTGGATCCAAACTGATGTAAATAACTTCTTATCTAACCTTGCTCTCCGACCTGAGGAACAAAATGACTTGGATCGCAACGGATACCTACATTCCCTGCTAGTTTGTGAGGCCATGAAAAGAGGATCTGTCTTGTCCAACCTCACACTCACAGCAGAGGGTTGTATACATAAGGACAAAGATATAACACAGGAAGGAAAGGAAACCAAAACACCGACCAATGGGCAGACGCACACAAAATGGCTCTAGGGTCTCGGAAAGATTCAAAGATGTATGAGACTCAGTTCCCACCTTGGGATCTTCAGATTCAAGTCAGGAATATCCTCTGCCAGATAAAATGCTAAGCGATAACACAAGGCAGTATATGATTCTGTGCAAAATCAGGGCTTGAGGCACTTGGTGAAGAGGAGACTGAGCCTGGGCTAGAATCGTCAGAATGCAAGAGCCTCGTGGTGGAGAGGAGGCTTGAGTTTTGAGGGGAGGTTATGTCTTCACACAGGTGAAAAGGGGGCGGATATCAAAACAGGAGAGAGAAACATCCTAATGTCTTTCAACCGGTTGACATAGTGTGAAGGAGATGTGGTAGGGGCAGAAACGACTCTCTGCTTTGAGATCAAACAGAACGCCCACAACCAGTATGGGGCACAGTGACCTGAGCACTGTCAGCCTCAGTTTGCTCATCTGTAGGATGGGGCAGATAATCCCCATCTCATGAGGACGTTGTGAGGATTAGGAGAGATCACAGAAAGGACTTGGTACAAACAGGAAACGCTCAGTGAAACCCCCTTCTCCCCTCCCCCTGCAATGTCTCATCTAGCCACAGTTTATCATCTGTGAGGAAGACCCTGAGGATGCCACTACGCTCTACTATTAGTGGTTGGGCGTTACGTCATTTGTGCAAGTGACTCCTAGGGTCAAGGAGGTGCCATGATAATTTTTTTAAATTTATACCTCTTTTTCAAGTTTTGTCAGTCATAGCTCACTGGATATCACTGAGCAAATATTTAGTTAGGACAAACCACTGTGGATTCTGTCGCGGGGGAGAAGATATGCATGACTCAGAAGGAAGAGGCTGCACACTCTTGAAAATGCTCCCAGGTGATAAGACGTAATGATACACGACAAAGGAACAAGAGTGACATAAACGTGATGGACTGGACGAGCGGAGGAGCCCTGACCCCCAGGAGCTCAACCAAGTGAGGGCAGTAACTGAAGGCTGACAGGGATCTGCACGGGAGCAAGGCTGGGAGGCCGGCGTCCAGGGCCGGCGGTGGACGGCGGCGAGGGGGAACCCGGCCTCTTCCCAGCACACGTACTGACTGCGAGCAGCTTGGTCTCAAGTAAGTGTATTTTCCGTTGTTAGAAAAGAACGTTTGACACAAATCACGTAATTTTTGGTTTGGCTGGAGCCTTCCAGATAATTTAAACACCCTTATAATTTGACCTAACATCAGTGAGGCCAAAACACTTAGATGATTTGGGGGTCACTCAGCCATCTCGGGGTGCAGAAGGTGCCAGAATCAAGGCTTCTTACCTCTCCAAGTTCATTTTCATTTGGAACATTTCTCCACACCTTGAATCTATGCTTATTATTATTATTATTATTTTAAACGTCCACAGGGTTTTCTGGATCCTGGGCTCAAAATGTTCTCCGTATCTTTTTCTGTTTTAATCCTTAATGACTTTTTTTCAATGAACATCTCTTAAACTCACTGTACAGAGTGACAATTATATTTTGATTAAGAATGTTACCTAGCCCTAAAAAGGATCATGGATCACAAGCCTTTACCAGAAGCATTGCAGGCTTGGGGAGGGCTTAAGAAATTGTTCAAGACTGGAAATGTCCCCAAGGGGCAGAGGCTGCTAACTGGCTTCTCTGTCCTGGAGAGCTGGGGACAGGTAGTGGTTAATTCTGTCAAAAAGGCCTGGGGTCCAGAGCCTGTAGGGCACTGTAGTAGCAGTTTTAGTAAAGAGCTTGCCTTACATCATCAAGCACACCTGGGTTCAAATTCTTGTTCTGCAACGTGGACATGTGATTTTGGAGAAATTACAACCTCTATGAACTTTAGTTTTTGCCCTTCTGTAAAACCTATACACCACCACTTCCGTGTTCACTTGCCATGAAGAGTGAGTGAGAAGCAATATACTTAAAATTCCTGCTTGGTAAGTGGAAGTCATTATTATATGTCAGCTTTAAGAACCTGGACATTAACTGATATAGACTAAAGAGAAGAGAAAAGCTGTTGAGAAGAGAAATGATACGATAATGATACGATAAACTTAGTCTTTTAGGAAGTTCAGGATGATGGCGGTAATCTTTGGAAAAACCAAATACCAAAACCTCCTGCTTTGTCATCTGCTGTGCAGTGTGCTCCAAGACCAGACAGCACTTCAAAATACACGGCAGAACAGCAGAAATCTAGGGCTTAAGCCTTCCACACAGAGCCCTTGAAGCCCAGCCCTGCCCCCACCATTAGTCCTGGACAGGCAACATCCCGCGAACGCTCTCCAGCCGCATACACCACTTACTCCCTCTCACCCTGAACCATCTGTCCTATTCCTGTTTGTCCATTTCCAGACAATTCTCGCTCTTCCAGCTTCTGAGCTTGGCTCCTTTTCCTGTTTACAGCCTCTCCGAAGACGTGACCCTTAGCACAGCTTGCAGCCTTCGCCTCTCGTTTCCTTTCTTCCTGGACCATGATTTCACTTGACCTCTAGACAATGTGGCTTCCCACTGTCCTGGGCACAGTCAGTGTGGCCCCTCATCTCTCTCCCAAGCACCACCTTTGAAGCAGGTCAATTCCGATTTCCTGACACCATGTCAGTATTCTTTCCCCTCTAGTGTAGATATCCTCTGAGGTGTGCTCGAAATCATGACTCAAACGGTGACAACAATAGGACATATTTTACCCCCTCCCCCCTCCAAAAAAAGTATATATTGTCTAAGCCCATCACGGACCTTCCCTACGCACAGGATGGGCTGAATATGATTTTGCAAACATTGAACAGCTGCAAACTTGAAATAGGAATTTGCTAAGAGAATCACAATGCACAATAAAAGAAAAAAAACAGTCTTTGTTTTCCTAATGTGAATGTCAAGTCATAAGAAACAACAAACTATTTTAAGAACATCTGGTCAATTACAAGTATTATTCAATCTAAGCAATTCAAAATGATTATAAGGCAAGTTACTTATTAAGCACTGCTGGGATTATGTAAAGATTTGTGCACTGTGATGGAAGAGGTATGGATACAAGGAAGAGAAAGAGCTAGAAGAGAAAACAGTCCACTGAGGGAGATATTCTGAATATTAACATAAAGGTAAAATGTGGTCATTTGGCCAGAACCATCTCATCCCTGGGCTCTAGGGCTATAGGCTTCTGCAGGTCCTATTCTCCCCACCTTCACCCCTTCAAAGCTAAGTTGGGGAAGGAAAGCAGTTGTCAGCCTGTCATCATCCACCTTCTACTCTCAGGACTTCCTCCAACAAGCCCCTGCTCTCCTAATGCTGGCTGAGCCATACCCATGCTTCTTCCCCAACCAAACTCCCTCCTTCTCCTCACACTTCTCCAAATGCTCCCAACCCTTCATGCCCAGCATCTGTCCCTGGTACTCTGTGAAGTTGCCCTTGTTTCTCAGAAACCCTCAGCCGTCTCCCCTTTCTCTGAGTCTCGCTGCATGTGGTCTATCAGTGGTTCTCAAAGTGTGAAACAGCAGCATCAACATTGCTTGAGATCATTTCTTGGGCCCCAACCCAGACCATGGGAGTAGAGGCAGAGACACAGCCCTCTGTGCTTTCATGAGCCTTTCAGGGTATTCTCATCTGCAGTGAAGTCAGAGAACCACTGGTCTACATCATTCCACAAGATAGCATTCCCCACCCAGCCACA